CAGTCATGGTGGTAACTAGGGCCTTCTAGCATTGCTCTCCTGCCTCATTTTAGGGCATTGCAGTCTTGCGGGGAACAGAAGCAGCACCCCCTTACCCTTCCCTTTTACACTGTCTGGACATCCAACCAGATGGACTGCATATTCAGCTTCCCTAAACCAAGCACAAACCGGGCTTCAGACAAAAAAAAAATTAGCATTAGAAGTGCTATGGAAATATCTTTCTGAAAAGTCTCTGAAAAGGAAAATAACTGTACGCGCCCAGCCACTCCCCTCTTTGGTAATACAGATGCACAGAGTCTGAGAAATCCCTGGACATCATGGATAATTATAAAATAGAATCAGCATTTACTTGTTCTTCATGACCTAACTTGTCTTGCAGTCTCTGCTAGAATTTATAGGTCACCCGAACCATAAAAATAAACATAAACCCAAGTTTTTTATTCCTTTTTTTTTTTCTTCAGTTAATAAGAGACTCCTAACATGTTCTGGAAGCAAGAATGAGCCTGAAGGAAAAACAAAGATGAGCCATCTCAATCAACAGGATTGAGATACATTTGGACAGTTTCTAAGACATGTTGCATCTCTACCGATATAAATATATTCACACTGACAAGATGCACTCCCAGCTTCACTAGGGCCCCACGCACCCCACAACCTGCCTACCACCACCCCCTGTGACTGTCCCAACACACACCATGGCTACAGTTCATTCACTCTAAGCAGCATGCGCTCACGGAGATCTGGCCCAAAGTATGGTAGCTACACACAGTATTAAAACCACTTTGGAAAACACATGCAAAATTAAAAAAAAACCTCTCTCAATTTGTTATTTTTCAAGCTATATTAACAGCAAGAAACTGGAAAGGCTATTCTCTAATGCATTCTAATTTTTTTCAATATTCAGGAATATACCATATGGAAAATTAACTAGGAAACACTGTTAGCTCTTGAAAACTTTTTATATTACTACTTCTTTTCATCACCAGCAAAATGAAGCAGAGGTAACTAGAAACCCAGGCAGTTACATTCTCTTCTTCTGATCACTGTATTTTTACAGCCATCAGCTTCACTGAAATAATGAGTAAGCAGCACAATAAATAAAGCCAACTATAAATAAATCATAGGCCTTTTCCTCGGTGAAAGTTATATAAAAAGCTGGAGTCTTGCTTTCCAGAGGCTGCCCACTAAAACTTAATTACACACTCAAATTATAACTTAAGAGTTGCCCCTAACATGAGTTCCACGCGCAACGAAAACCTCAGAGCAACGTTACACTGAGCATGACGGTACTTTTAATGAGCGCTGTCGGCCCCTTTGGGGAAAATAGAGAATAAAGCTTGACTTAACAAAATTCATCGATTTCTAGCACAGCTGCACCACACTGTGAACAGAGAGGCATCACTCAGCCTGGGCTGTCCTCGGCTGCATTAACCTCCAGGCACGCAGAGGGGCTCCTTGCAGAGCTGCAGCAGCTGCCCCGTGGGGTACGTCCCATCCCCTCCAACCCCTCGGAGTCATAGTCCCAGTCTCCGGGTTGCAATATGACAGCAGAGACCTTTTTGGCATCCACTCAGACCGCTTCCTCAAGTCCCAAACTGAGCAGAAAATTAACTCTGCAAAACAGAAGTGGATACTTTGCAACCAAGTTAACAAGCTGGATTGGCTTTGTGAGCATCCAGACACCAGAACGAGTTCCAGGAAGGAAGCAGGACTGGGCTGAAGAGCTGGGGTTGGCACACGAGGAATGGGCAAAGAGGGCAAGGAGCTGGACCACCACTCAGCAGCACCAAGCCATTAGGGTTCCCTCAGCTGCGTGGTTGAGCCACAGCCTCATTCAAGCAAGGCTGGCTCAGCAACAGTAACTCAAATGTGGGTAAGGTAACTCCACAGGGAAGATATACCTTAAAAGTCTCTTTACAAAATATATTGCCTTCTAAAGCTGGGCCACCAAAGAAGTTTCTGCCCTTCCCTGAAGTTTCTGCCTGTTCATTCCTCCCCTAATACTGTCAATCTCCCCACACTTTGTAATGCTGATATAATTGTTTGGGTAGGTCTGCCCATGGACACTGAAGTGATCAGAATTAAAAATACCATTGGGGAAAAGAAAGTGGCAGGTACTGGGGCAGGGGAAAAAGGAGAGAAAAGAGCTTTTTGGTTTGAAGCATGTTGGTGACTTGGTCAGCAGCACAGCCCACAAGGTCACACTGCCGAGGGCGCCCAGCCCAGGGCGGGAGCTGATGGCAAGGACGCCTTCAGCTTGCTTTGACTGTTCAAGCGAGCATCTTGCGGGGCCTCTTATTAACGGTACTGCAGAGAGTCCAAGCAAAAACAGGAACAGAGAACAGAAGAGGACAATTGACTGACTCCTGTTGCTATTCCTTGACAGCCTAGGGCACTCAAATGGCTGCCTGTCCTCGTCCCACTCTCTCCTCCCTATATTACCCGTCTTCACCTCCCACACACACTTTGTTCGCTCACAGGCCATTTTAGGAATCTGTTTTGCTATAATAATAAAGTCAAAAACCAAACCAAAACAATGCTTCTTTGGAGGAAGTAGTTTGTCTGTTGGCTTAGCATGCTGAAATAGCAATGAGTGACAGACCCTGAAGTGGGAGGACAGGATCAATAACTTGAAGTCGGACGAGAAAGGAAAACAGCAGCATCATGGCAGGCTTAGGTTGCTGCGTCTGTGTATATCAGGATTTTCTCCTTTCATTAAATCTGAAGTTCTGTTAAATACACACTTAGCAGTCAGTGATGCACAGTATAAAAGCAGAAGGAAATGTACAGCATAGCACAGATGTCCTTGCTTTACAACTCCCTTCACAAAACCAGACTTGGAAAAACCTGACCTGCAGACCCCTCAGAAGCTGCAGAACGTCTAGGCTGCTGAACACGAGAAAGACCGCAGCGAGTGGTGAGAGCTCATCAGCACATGAAGCTGCTGGAAACTCTTACAGTCTGAGTCTTTGTTCAATGCCCAAACTAGATAGCGTTTCTCCCCACAGGCAGAAACACTGATAAATAGATTAGACAGGTAGATCGATCAATGCATCTTCGGTGATAAATTACACCGGCTAAAAATAAAAATCTGAAATCCCTCCAAATGCAAAAAAAAAAAAAAAAAAAAAAAAGCAATAGACTCTGCTCATATGTCCAGTCTACAAGCCTGCTGTGTGGTTTGAAAACTTACACCCTCAGCCAGGAATTACTACTAGGGTGTAATTTGCTGAGCAGTTCTTTCAACAGCGGTGCTGGCTTAAGTAGTTTCCCTCCCAAATAGTTATTTTTAAACCAGATCAGTCTGCTACAGCTTGGTCCATCCCACAGCTACAAAACAGTGGTACAAACACATCTGAAGGGTGAGGAGGGCACTTGCTTTAGCCTTGATGCAGCTCAAAGAACTTCTTGTAAAACACGTGAACGTTCCCTGTCTGTTTCAACAGAAAATAAAGTGCTTCAGTTTAAATACCTTCTACAGTCGAGTAAGTCAAACCATTTAACTTAAATAAATTCATGATAAACTACAGAGGCAGTGACTTTTACTTTGCTCATGTTCTGATCTTCATAGGCATATGTGAGCCTGCCCATTCAGCATATTTTTAAATTAGTACAATAACTGTGTGCATATGTTTACGTCACCTTAAACCTGTCTTTGGTTTTAAATTTAATTTGGTCTCTAAACAACAAATATTATATGAACGTAAGTCAAGCTGACTAACTTGATAACTGGAAGCTTGCTTTTTTTTTTTTTTTTAAAGTGGCATAATATATGCCACAGACCACATCACTGCAAAAAATAAAGACCATAACCCCAAAACACCAAAGATGAAACCATGAACTATTGGAAAGCCAGTATATAGCTGCAGTTAGGCAACAGGGATTCAAAGTCCAATAAACCATTGACCACATAACAGACGGGGATCTTCGAGAGCCTGCTTCTACATTTCCCAATCTAAAGACTACTGGATTCTAAATAGTACTTAATTCTTCTGTAGAAAATCCCTAGTGTATCTTGTGTGGGACCATCAGAGATAATTTGTTTTCCATTTCAAAGCCCACTTACTACTTCTGCTTTACCCCCCTAATACTATTTACTTTCTTGAATCCAAGAGAACACCAGCACATTTGTGAGGGGACCTGGACTCATTTCAGCAATTTACTTCTGAGGTCTGGTCCACAAGACTGAACACCCCCAATGAATCAGAAATCTACTTCCACAGCATTTTCTTTCTCTCAGGAAAGGGTGTGGGTATTGTTGATTTCTTCATGTGCAGTAGAGGTTAACACTGACTGTAAAGCACTAAAACTCTCACTTGAAACCAAAAGCCTACTTGAAATAGTAAATGTTAGAACATAATTTAATAGTGCAACAATCCAGTTGATACTTTTCTGTAGTGCCCTGAACATTAAGCCAATAGACACTTACTCAGGACCATGGTCCTGAACTTCACCAATGGTGAAAATTAGTAAGATGTTCTAATAAAGAATAACTGTATTTTCAGAGATCAGCTTTCAATTTCATGTCAAAAAGCCACTGTCATTTGGAAAACCCCAGCCAGAATTAAAACAATAAAAATGGAAATAAAGCAAGCACCGGGTTTTGCTCTTCATGTTCCCAGTAACACAAAATTTAAAACACACAGTTTTCAGACGACATCGCTTGGATATCAGCCTTTAAATATACTACCAAAGATTTATCTAAATTCCAATGGGTAGAGAAGAAACTAGGACCACATTCTCCCCAAAACTTTATGGCACAGAGAGTACTTGTGACTTCCTACTTTGCTCACACCTAATCCCCACTAGCCCATTGTCAGGGGAAACGAAAAAATATTCTCACTGATAATGGATATACTACCCTAGCAGCCCAAAACTCTTCAGATGTTTTATTTTATATAATCTTAGAAGTTGTACCCAGAAATAGTTCAGGCACTCGGAGAGTGAGCATGAAAGCACCCCATACAGGCAGAACGTCAGAGTTTAAGCAGAATACTTACTCTGTGCCGCTTTCAACCATTTGTGTTAGGAGGGAAATGCCATCTAGGTTTATAAATTCTTGGGCAAATGTAACATCTCGTGAGTAGTTGGCTAAGTCTTTCAGTGCTTCTAACTTTGCATCCATACTAGAAGACTGGATCCTCTCATGGAGCTGCTGTGCATTTTGAGCCTAAGAGAGAAACAAAACATATAAAACAAAAAACCTTCCGTTACAATGGCAGTAACGAACAAAACGTTAGCGCAAGCAGGACAATGGCCAAGTTTAATATTAATGATACGTAACACTTGCATGCTCAGAAATTATTAAGTAGTTCACATACAAATACAGGTATTACTACTCATGTACGACTCCATTATTACCTATAATTATTTGGATTTTTGCAGAATCATTAGCTGAGCAATAGATAGATATCCCATTGTCTCAGGCAAAATGTAAGCATTAGAAAAGACAGCCTTTGGCTTGAAGAGCTTACGTGTCACATCAATAAAAGTAGAAAGGAAAATAAAACAAATTGCATCAGACAATCTCAGTATAATAATGGTAGCACTTTTTTTCCTGTCAACTCAGTTTACACAGTTCTCATGACCTTTAACAACAACGACCATATACTGTCCTAATCCGGTTGTATCAGCAGAGACCAACTTCAGGCCTTCTGCTCCTTCCTCCCCCTCTCCCTTTTGTTCCCAACTCACATACTCACTTACACGGAACATAGGAATAATTATTTCCCACATAATACTATGATATTATCACTCATGCATCTTTATGCAAGTTCAATATCCACATACACTAGGCTATTCTGCCCATTAATGCTCCAAATACAGGATGAGACAGTGAAATCCAAAATGAACACTGATGATAAAAAGCTAAAGAGATATTTAAATAGTGCATATTAAATGGTCTCTCTCTTTAGCCATAAAAATACTTTAAAATACATCTCACGTTTTCAGTTTGACGCTTTCACGTACTGGAACACAATAGCCAAAAGCTTCCGTTAATAGCTAGCCAGCCAGCCAACACTTTTCTTAGAAAAAGAATCCTCCTCACTATATGCAGATACTTGCAAAATTTTATTTCCTAAAATTCACTTCTTACCTGCACTGAATGAAAGGTGAATGAGAGGCTATGTGTCATTAGGAAACCATATTAATGGTAAATTCTGCTGAGAGCTATTTTCTGAGATTATGCTTATTCTTTCTCAGCTGCAGAAGAAAAACAGAATAAAAGGCTGTGCTGACAGACAATTCCTTTTCTCTTCAAGTAATGAATACACTCTTCACAGAGATGGTCATCTCTGCCCATCAAGATTCTGAGATAGTAGACATTTTTAGTGCAAGCGAACATTTAAACAGGGAACACAGGAAAAAAAAAAACCACCGTGTTGTTACAGATACAGCTTCCTACCTCCACAACTTTGATTGCCTCACCAACATTAATAAATAAAATGTCCCAATATCCTCCAAGATCAGCAAGGTTTGCTACTTCCCATTTTTTATAAAGAAAAATGAATGCACAGTCTCCAATCAGCCTTTGGCCAGAACCTATCTGGTGAGGAGCATGTACAAGGAGGAAAAAACTTCTAGTTACGCTCGTGACCGTAGTTACCACCTTCAGTTAAGGCAGCGTTGAAAAGAAACAGAATATCTTTAGTCCTGAGCTCTTCTATGCCTTAAGCATGGGGTGGTGCAGCCATAGTGGTTACGTGATCTATAAAAAGGCAGAATCCTGTCATCCAAAAGGTCTTTCTGCCGCCCTAAATTACCCATTCTATCAATAGGTTTGAGTCGTAATGGGGAAACAGTGGTTTACACAGTCTCTCCATAAGGGCAATGTCCGTCCAAATGGTACTAAAAGAATATTCTCCCAAACTTAAGCAGTTGGCAGGCTAAATCATTTGCCAAAGCCTATGGAAGAAATAAAAATAGACCCCACTAACTTCCCACTTCCCGGATAACCACAGAATACTTCCTCCAACCCCTTCCCTTTGTCATAGCGGGTGTAGGAACTTTTGCTAAAGTACTCTTGTACAACCAGCGACAAAAATCCAGAGCAACCACTATTGTTACCTGAACCAGAAGTTCACCAGCCAACTCCTACTTCACCAAACGACCTCCTTCACTGAGCTGTTTCTACTCCGGACTCCCCACTGTAACAACTCAGGAAGACTCAGAGATGCAAAGCATCCTCAAAACACTACTCTTTCTCAGAATACATGGAACATCTGAATTCCTGCCCATCTCAGAAAAGAAATACTTCAGAAAATCTTCCGTGTCGCCATGGCAGTTGCATTCCCCTGGCTTGGGAAATGGTTGCTCAAATTTAACCTTAAGCTCATTAAGATCTGTGCACATGCCTTCTTCCACCTGCCATACTTCTAGGAAGGTACCACCGCCACTCTCTGCCTATGGAAGGATACAGTTCTTCCAGCCTTCCACGGGAAGCAGGTCCTCTGAAAGTTCCTGGACTCAGTGAAAACGAAACAAATAGGAAAGATGAACAAAACACCCGGTTCAGTGTGACTGAGCAGCTCAACCAGTAAATCTGAGCGGGCAGAACTTGGGCAGCAGAGCTGCGGCCAAACAGATGGGGACTGTAATTGCCTGCGTAGCACCGTGGCAAGCAAGAACGAACATTTAAGCAGAGCCTGGAGAACGCCCTCCCCCAAACCCCTTCACTTCACAACTGCTGTGCAAACAGTGCCTCATCTTCGTACTCACTGACAACAGATTATTAATGGCCAAGTTCACCCTTCCTCTTGAGGAGAGATTGCAGTCCCCGGCATAAACACCTGGGGCTGGTGAGCTGCTGCTGCCGTCCCAGTTAGACTTCCATCACACCTGAATCAATATCAAGCAGGGAAAGAGCTATCCCCACCTCCCACCAAACCCGAGAGCACCAGTACAGGGGTGCGCATTAACAGCTCACCCACACTGCAGAACAGCAGCATGAGCGGGACCAACCTATCGACAGAGATAACGTTAATCCTTTTCCCTCTGAAGTCAGTGAGAGCTTTGAAATCCACCACACTAAAACCAAAACATAATCTTAGGGTGAGAGCTTTGAAATCCACCACACTAAAATCAAAACATAATCTTAGATCAGAGACAGCTTGGTCCCCTCTACAGAGTACAAAAATCTATAAAGCAATGTCTCTCTGACGCAAAAGTGGTTCAGCCCTGTTTTAAGCACCTAAAAGAAAGCTTACTAACATCATAGGCTTTCTCTGACCATGCCAACGCTAATGCCCCATCAGCAAACTTTCTACATAGCTGTACTTTTCCTACATTAAACAAGTTTTGCAAGACACCGCATCCAGAAAACCTTGCTCCTTCTACTATCG